TCTTTTGTCATTGATCACACTAGAATCTGTGATTTTTCAGGTATATGGAGTGTGTTGATCGATTTTTGATGTCTTGTGTTGGCTACTCGGTGGGAACGTTCATAATGGGAATCATGGTAGGTATCTCCACATCTTTGAAATACAATCATTTCTCCAGAGCTTGTGGGTGCGCTTTGAATTTCCAAACAATGTAGGCTATCTCGTCAGTATTTATGTAGGTCTTGTAGGGATGGAGAGTTAATTTTTTAGTAGTTACCTTAAGGCATTTTTTGTAGTTACATGAAGGGGTATTTCGATTCTGCTTGGGTCCTTTTTGACGTTCTGCAATTTCGATGGAGTTTTTTTACACGTACACTAACTTTATGGCTGGTTTTCTAAATTCGATTTCTGAAACTCTGATTTCCAAAACAGGATTATTTCGATGCCGTTTTTCTATTTTTCGATGTTTGACACGAAGTTTTTTTTGAATTGTTGGACTTTTTCCATTTGTGGTTTCAAAAGCCACTCCTTTTTTCAGTATTAGTTTTTAGTAGCTTGGCTTTTTTTTACCTTAGCCTTGCTTTCTGCTTTTTTTATTTTTGCAATGGCGTCTAAACTTGTTTAAATTCGATAATTCGATGTCATTGCTCAAATCTGAATTACGAAACTGACCTACAATTTCTCAGCGTAGCTGTCATTTCTACCCCTGTTGTTTTCCAGGACCGGCACAATGACAACATTATGATGACTCGCGATGGCAAGATATTCCATATTGATTTCGGCCACATTTTGGGCCACGGAAAAACGAAGCTTGGAATTCGACGTGATCGTGTGCCGTTTGTGCTCACAGAGCATTTTCTTTGTGTGATTGGACAAGGTAGACCGGTGTCGAAGGATAGCCATGAAGTTACAAAGTGGGTGTTTTATACATATTTATTTAACAACTTTCTTTACTTATACAGGGGGGGGGGGCCAAAAAAAAAGACATTTTGCCTATGTCGGACTTCGGCTCTTTTTTCTTCGCAGAGATTGCTGTCGTTGACGGGAGTTCCTCAGCAGAGTATTCCCTAAGTGTCCCTCTATAAGTGAACGCAGGCTCCCTTCACTGCCCTCACCGTCTTCAGAATATGACGTCATCTGTCACCGTCGTCAGGCTCAAGGAGGTCTACCGTAAGAGCTTCAGCCTGAAGCTCTTACGCAATTTCGTGAATCGATTTAATGTTGGATAGTTTTCTAGAGGCATTAGCTACCACTGTGCAAATCCCCTCGAAACTAGCTTTCCAGTAAGGGTCGTTATGGTACACGATCCTTCGAAGACCCCATTGAGCTCGACCAGTGCACCATGTTTCCAGGGCAAATTCTTCTGATGCCGTCCACGTAGGTGGCCACTATGAAGATTTTCTTATAGAATGGAATGCACTCTTTAATAATAAGTTGGGAACCGTTCGGTCTGAGTTGAGCAAAAATGTGCTTAAATCCATCTGGAAGTGGAGGCAAAATGTCTTTTTTTTTGGCCCCCCCCCCTGTATATTCAAATTTTGTCATCTAGTGCCTTTTCATAAGTGTGATCTTACCCTACCACGGAAGGGGGTATGAAGGTGGGGTCTCATCCAGTTAGGAGGTGGGAAAGGGGGCATGTTGTGCGACAGTTACTGCCATCCACAGACTCCAGATTCCAACTTTGCAGAGGAGGAAGTCCTAGGCGTGAACCATTTCGCTTCCACTTTTACACACACTTAAAGCTTTCTTTCAATGTGGAAAAATGGATTACTTGGGGCGATATGAACTGGCGCATCCCATGCCTGCTCAGAAAACGCCCTTATTAAATTTACTTGTTTGCAGAAAGATATTTAGTATATAGTATTGCAGAAGGTAAGAAATTTATTCGCTTTTCGATATACTGCACCATCACAGCATATGCTAATTCCGTGTGACGGTTGCGATCCCCTACTGTTACGTTTTGATAGCGCTTTGTTCACTCCAAGTTTTGTTATCACTTGCTGGCCGAAGATGGGAAACGATGGGTAATGTGAATTCTCGGATCACGAGATTCACCAAGGATTGCCCGAGGCGGTTGGATACGTTGACTTAACACGCTCCTCACTGGATGATTGTTCAGTCTACCTACACACGTGAAAGTAGAGGTGTTATTTGAATTCACTCCAACAAAACATTCCCTTGGCTCGAAAGTGCGTGCAAGGGTGCTAGGGCCTTGCTAAATGTATACAATGGGCAGGTACCTGCATTAAAAAGTCTAGGTAGCTGCATGTTTCTGTTTCGTACTTCTTTTATGCTCTCTTCAGTTCTCTCTCTTTGACGCCCGCTTGCTTCTCTTTCTTCCAGTCAATGTTCACTTTACAGAGGAGGGACTGTCCCAGTGATTTCGAGAGGTGTCTTCCGACCTTTATTTCTTCACTGGCATTGCCCTTCGCAAATATACTTTTCTATTCTATCGGTTCTTGAACTAAATGCTCTTGAAAATCTTCACAACAGTAGGCAGATTGTGGAGGATTTATTGAAATTGGTAGACTCATGTTTCATGCTTTAGATTCAAGAAGCTTTGCTGCGACGCATACATGAGGCTTATGGGAAGAACGCGATCCTATTTTCTTTCTTTATTCACTGTAATGCAATCAATGGAACTGCCGGAGCTGTCAACTGAAGCTGACTTGGATCATCTGAAGGTTTGATTATTTCAGCCGTACCTTTTTTAAATATGCTTTCTAGGGGAGGTCTCTTTCCACCAAAAGCCGGGCTTTTTCACTCTTCTGTTGGAGTTCTCTTGTTCGTTTCTTTTTATTTTATGGAAAAATTTTCAGAGCACACTACGAGTAGCATACCATGATGGTATGATGACAGAAGCGAGGGCGTTCTTCTCGGAGATTTTCGACGAAGCCTTCAACGGCTCGTGGGCGACGAAAACTAACTTGGTTTTTCCATGCCGTCAAGCACATTTGAACAATTTCAAGGACACTTTGTTGCTAATGCCGTTTGTAATATTGCAAGGAACGCGGGCTCAACCGTTCCAAGTACTGTGTTAAAATTTTATTTGAGAAGCGCTTTGTCAGCTGGTTGAGGCTGAATCGAAGATCCTTTTTTCTAAAATTTATAATCGGATTGCGTGCGTAGAGCGCTCACTCTTATTTCGCATCAGTGTGTTCTTGTAGCGTAATTTGGTCGCTTCCAGTTGGCGCCTGTCCTCACTACTATTTAAAAGCACCATACTTATCATTGCACTTGCTCCACATCAGTTGATTTTGGGCTGATTACTTGAGTATTGTTGTGGTTACTGGTCACTTGCTCAAAATTGGCTGTGATTTAACGTCGTTATATTTTCTTGTCCTGTTGTCATGTTGATGTCTGGCGCACGCTTTTTGAGCACGGAACTGCTTAAACTGCTTACTCGTGAATAGTTCAGCGAAACATCTGCTGCTACTGCGACTTGTTTCTTTCTTTTGTAAAAAGTTGGCTCGTTTCTGATAACCTCTTATATACGCTTTCAAATCACATTCGCCCGCTGGTATGTTTCTCACGGTGTTCAAAGTTACTGTTTTTGATATCATCTTGATTTTGTTCTTTTCAGATTCTTTAAATTTTGTATTTTTGGCAAAGTTAATGTTGAATATCCTGGTGAGATTGCTTATTGTCTACTGACTCATTTTATCTACTTCTGTATATTCCATGACAATAGTTATGGCCGTTTTCATGTTGTCCAAGGTCTCATACTCTGTGCAGCCGTACGGTTTTTGGCCCCGCCCCTTCCGGCTACTTCTCATTATTTTACGCTTCGCTGCTGAGTGAGGCCTGATGGAAGCAGTGGAAAACGACTTCCAAGCAACAGACGCAGTACAATTATCGGAACTGCTTATGTTTACGGGTATTTCCGAGAATTTTTTTGATAGCCAGGGTTCACTCCTAGTCGCCGACTTTCATAAAATTTATTAGATTATTTACTATTTGAGGTACATGTTTTTGCGGTATTTAAGCTATTTCCCTTGCCGCTCCTCGTAGTTTGTGTGAGCAAACTCGCAGTGTGCGAGTTGCTGACCACGATGTTGGGGGGGGGGGGAGGCGCTTTCTGGAAATATCACCCGTTTTTTACCAGATGTGATCCAGAGTGCATGTGATTGAAGCGCGATAGGGGAGCACTCCATATAACTACGTATTAGCTGAATGCATGTGGCCCAGTCAGGTGGCTCATGAAGTTCTCCTTATCGTGCTTTGAACCCGTTAAATATGGACTAGGTGTTTTTCAGACGAGGTAGGGAGGCGTAGTGAAAGGCTTGGCGAAGCTGGGCAGGACATACTTAAAGCAACAATCCAGGAAACGAATTTGCGGGCAAGGACCGCCTATAATGAAGTTGCAGGTGAGAAGTTGGTCAATGGAGAAAGAAAAAGTAGAAAAAAACGTCGGACAGGGGCTTAGACAGGGACTCCTCCTGCTGCCGTTAAGCGATGGGGGAGACGTGTGTTGGACGAGTTGTCCGAACCTGCCCGCAGTTGCATGTCGGCCCCCAGAGAATACCTATCCATATGGTCGAACGGCCGCGTCGAACGCGGCCGAGTCGATAGTGCCCGCGAACCGTTGAAAACGCACTCGAGGTGCCCGCGAACTGTGCTGTGCTGAGTTCGCGGGCACCTATCAACTCGGCCGCGTTCGCCGCGGCCGCGCCCAAATGGTTAGGTATTGTCTGGGGGGCCTTGCATTTCCTAATCGTTTTTGAAGAAAAGGTACGACGCAAAGAACTGTGAGCGAGTCTGCAGGCGGTCGCCGTTCTGGTGATAGTATCGATACATCTTGGCTGTGAAGAATGCAGAATGGAAACCAAAACTATTCAAGGATGGGGCTTGATTGCTCCAAACTGGTCCGAACGTCACTTGCACCTGGCCAAGCCATCATCCCGGCTGGGAGCCGGCGGTCATCCGCTCCCGCCCATCCCAGTCCCGCCTCCGCCCATCTGCTGTAGTTCGTCGCCCTTCCTACAGGCTTCCAAAGGTGAGTTCATGTTCAGTTCCCTTTCAGATATGTTTAACTAGGACCAGTGCTTCTCCCCACCCCATTAGCGACTAATGCTCGGAACCCTGCCTGGACTGTTGCTTTAAAGTGACCGGAATTGGTGGGGTCCAGCACGGGAGTGATAGTTATGAGTCGCCTTGTTAGTAAGCGACAAGGTCAACCTTGATGTTACGAAAGTTTCTAAAATTTTAAGACCCCTTCGTAGGGGGTTGACACATCCTAACTCTCAAACACCGCCCCGCAAAATTGCCCTCAGGCGGGGACGGGGATGCGGTGAAGGGGGGGGGGGGGGAGAAAGAATCACTGAAGAAATGGCAAATGTTCCAGTTTCACATATTTGAGCTCTTCTTCATCATACATCAAATTGTCTAGCCAAACTACCCTGTCAGAGCTGTTCCAGTTCTGGAAATTCGACGACGCCCTTCTCAGGTGGGAACTCATACGCCCCTCAACACCACCATCAGCATTAGAGGAGCCGTCTCCCCATGCGAGTCACTCTACCCACCCACACCGTCATGACTGTTTCTATAGTAGTTGATTCCGATACAAGTCACAGCCCACTCTGCTCACTTTTTCCTCAGAAATGGCCGTCGAGCGTCGAAAACCCTAGAACACGATCCTCTCTCCCGTCACCTCGACCCCTCCATTTTCCACAAATATGACCGCCTTATTCAATTTAGACCTTCACCAACCCCAAATAAATCCCTTCAGAAAACTCAAACACGACCCCTGCCTTGAGAACTGGACAATGTGCGTGTACCTCTGCCCCCTCTTCGCTCCTCAACATGGCCCCGCAATATCCACCACCATTGACCTTAGGAAATGCAATTAATGCACCCTAAACCACAATATCAAATACAAATCCGATCCAAAAACAATCAATGCCTGAAATATCGTGCAACTCGTTGGCAAACCATCAATCAGTTGACCCTGGTGAGCAGTATTTCTTGACAGTGGTTGACTGATTGTTCGTAGTCAAGTCCGGGCATGCAGTCACATGGAGTCAATTTTGGTGGCATCGATGGCGGGACTATGTGTGTTTTAGCACAATCGTTACGGCTAATATCCTTTCAACGTTGCTGTTCGTCCGTAGAATCCCGAAATTAGCGGATACTTCTAAAAAATTGATTAATCTCTCCCAGAAAGCCCATAGCTTGGCTAAACTCTGAACTCTTTCTCTGAAAGCGCTTTGCCAATACTCAACATGCCACATACAGTAGCGGTCAAAAGTTTGGAAACTTTTTTATTTTTGATCTAGCGCGGCCGACACATAACGAAATTGTCCCAAATTTAGATATTACATACAAAATCAAGTCCAGAATACGACGGGAAGAATAATTTCCAAAAACTATAATCATGTTTGAGAAATAAGATTTTTTCAAGTAATGGCGCGTCAAAAGTTTGGAAACTTTTTGTTTCCCTCATCATTATGATTCCTACTCTTCAATGTTTACTTGTTTCTGTTAATTTTAGTTCAACCATTGAGTAATGTGTAATTTCAAAATGAATTCATATGCAAAGGAAGCAGTTTTTCCATGGGAGGTCCTTTTTTAAACCCTACAATCCGGAATACGAAATAGAAATGTTTCTTAGTAGTTCAGTCTCTACGAAAGCAATATTATCGAATGTTTTAGTGTTTTGGAGTCGAGTAAGCATAAGAAGAATGATCATTCACAAAAAAGTATCTCACAAGAAAATTGGCCCTCCTCAAATACTTCGAAGGGTGGTTGGCACGTCCCGTACCCCT